CGATGAAGAATGTCAGATCCAGAGGGAACACTATTAGGCAGCACCTTGTACCCTTCCGCACGACGTTGGCCCCCCGACGTCTTCAACAGATCGTCAAGACGCTTCTCAAAAATTTAATTTTTCTCATGGATTTTGGGATTCTTCACCTGAATGTTTGTTTCTGTCTTGCTTCATTGAAATGTCTCTGCTACAGCTAGTCCTGTGTCAATGAAATATTTTCAATTTTCCCGATATTATTTACCGCCTGATTTCCTATTTTAAGTTCAGCAATGTTTAGCCATTAGGAAGTGATTTCAATTTGTGAGAAGTTCCGAGTTGCATGTTGAAGCTGTTGATTGGTTAATTATTATCCTTTTCAAAAGTGAAACTTTTGTAATGTTTCTTGAATTAATTGGGAGTTTGGAATGGTATGAAAATAGGAAAGCTCATTAATTATCTGCTAAATTTTGCATTTCGGGCTTCCTTAGGAGGAGAAGTTGCCATGTGCTTTCTATATATCAGAAAAGGAGTTGGTTTGTGCCTGTCACTTGGAACTCACTTGAGAAAAAACAAAAGCCCAATAGACCAAACTTCGTTATTCCTGCCTCCATTAATTTATTCTCTGATAATTTTATTGTGCACAATGCTTGGATGTTTAATTTTCGAGAACAATCAATTTTCAATGTCTGTGGAGAAGGTACTCTCAATAGTTCATCGACTGCAGGCTGTTTTCTGCAGTCGTCCAGTTAATTGTTTTTTTGTCAAATTGCTGGGTTGAGTATTTTCTTTTAAATAGTAGACAACTTGCTTCTTCATGTCTGTTCATCATATTATATAAACTACTTACTAGCATGATTCTTGAATTATTCAATTGGTTCTCTTCAATATCTATAATTTTTTTGTCCACAGGCATACAGAAGCTGTACATCCTGTTGCCTTTAGTCCTGAGAGTCGATATTTAGTGAGTGTTTCTGGTGATACCACTATCCGACTGTGGGACCTAAATACTCAGACGCTAATGTCCACATAGACAGGTAGGAAGGAATTCTCTGCTTTCTTAGCCTGTCCTAAACACAATGAAGATGTACAGGCAACAAATAAACAAATAAGAAATAGAATTATGCAAACTAAATTAGATGAAGGACATGCTATGGTTGAAATTTCTTCTTTGTATTCCTTCCTGTCCCTTATTAATCATGGACCTAAGGACCTTTGAATTTTATTTAGGACACAAGAATTGGGTTCTTTGTATTGTCCTTGGGGCATGCTAAAAGCAATAGAATATTTTTCTTTGTTTCAGTTAGTTGTCTCAACATTTAACCTCTGAGACTAGTGTTTTGATCTATTTTTAGGGTCACAAAAAATGGATTACTGGTTATGCTCGTATTTGGGACATTTCTTTAAGGAGATGTGCTATTTGTCTTAATAGACACACTCTTGCAGTAACTTGTGTGAAATGGGGTGGTGACGGAATAATAGATAAAGGGTATGCCTTTTATTTAATTTTGCTTCTATGAAACTTGATCCTACATAAGGAGTGGGCTTCTGTAGTTCTATTTGCTCATAGGGTTTTGACTTGACACAATTTCTGCTTTCGAAATTTACCCGTTTACAACTTAGACTTTCAGTGAGCTGGCTGCAGCTCCCAGAATTGTACAATTAAAGTCTGGGAAACTACCCAGGGGTGGCAAATTTGTGAATTGAAGGTAACCCTTTTTATATCCTTTACAGTGTCGCCCAAATGTTGTTTATATTTGTTTTAACTTATTGCACTTTTGCACAATTATTCATGTGGTCAGCCAGATTTTATTTTTCTATCCATAACTGTGCCTCTTTAGTTGTTGGGGTTGTTTGTAGTCTCTTGCATATTTAAAGATCTTTGCAATCATCCTTGTGGTGCATGACCGATTTGTTTTTTTTCTTTTTTTCTTTTTTTTTGGGGGCCCATTTCAAGTTTTACCTTTAGGTTATAGAATGATTCCGTCCTTGGAAGAATGCTTGCGTTAAGAGGTTTGTTGTTGTGAACTTCCTTATTAAATTGGTTGCTTGGTCCACTTTTGATCATACTGGGAAACAATATTCATCTCCAGAGGAATTGAAAAAGGTAGCTTTCTGTTGGGTGTTATTGGTTATTTCCATTAGTTACTTATCTCAGTCAATTACTCTTACACTTCTGTTATCCCCTAATACTAGTGCCAAAACTATGGCTATTCTGTCAAAACCTCTTCCTTAGGTGAAAAAGAATATGTACAATTCGGATTTGAGGGATTCCTTTTCTTAGCTTTATTGCCCAAGCATTGGTGCTACTGAATATAATAAAAAAAAAATGTGAAAATGCCAATTATTGCTGCTAATAGTTTTATGGCGTTACCAATATTAGGCACTACACATTTCTTTCTTCCTTTTTACTTTTATTTTATTTTTTTGAATTTACATGGATAAATAAATCATGTTTATAGAAGTCAAGATTTACGGTGAGTGGCAATTTTTTTTTTTTAGAAGGGCAATAATTAAAGGTATTAATGTGTTAGAGGAATTAGTGCGTAAAGAGAGTATTGAACCTAAAATATGATATGCAAACCAAATCACGGACTGCCCTAAAAAGCAGCAGGTGGCCATTGCACCATGCACGTGAAATGCCGGTGAGTGGCAATTATCCTCAAGAATGCGTGTTACTTTTGCACTGCGATAGGGTTGAAATTTAACCACGTTAATTTATTTCTGACCCCATCTTTTCCCTTTTTCCACACCTAAAAATACGTAAAAATGACCATACCAAATACCAATGACTATTAGTTTCCAACCCCTAAAATGGTGTTTGGTTGGTGAAACTTTATTTTAAAGTTTTTTAAATTATTTTAAAATTTTGTATATATTTTTTTCATTAATATTATAATAAAAAAGTGACATATTTAACTTTTATTTTTTTTATATAGTTCTCAACCCTCAGTTCTTCTCCACTATTTTAAAAGAAAGAAGTTGTCTTATAACTATTCCTATATTAGAATTATTTAACAACTTTTTCTCTTAATTTTTTTTATATCAATTTCTTACCAAATATAATAAAATTAATAAATCAAAAAAAATTTAACAAAACTTCATTACAAAATTTAACAATTTTTCATGCAATACTTTCTAAGCCAAACCCCTTATTTATATCATGTATATTATTTTTTTATGATTAACACCTTTCATAATTTTTACTCCCTCAATACATTTTATAATTTAAACTTGCAAAAAAAAGCCCAAATTACTAACAAAATTAGTGCAAATAGGGGGTTTGATTGTAATTTTTAAGTTTTTTATAATTTTAAATTATAAAAAATATTGGTTAGAAGTAAAAATTTTTAAGGATGTTGACTGTTAAAAATAATATATATAATGTAAATAGAGAATTTGATTTACTTTCTACCTTTCAGATAGTATTTATTTATTTTTTTAATAAAAACTTTTCTAATGAAATCACATTCTAACTAAATAAATCTCAATCGAAATGTTTAAAAGGATCAAATTTTCTGTTCATGAAAAGGGATTGCAAAAAACCCTGTTCATGCAGTCATGCAGAACGTTGCGTGGACAAGGGCAGGGGAACATTTCAGGTGAAATTTAGTGGAAAATTTTCTCTGCCTTCGTTGCCCAGACTCCCATTAAAAAATAAAAATAAATAGAAATTTTATATAGATTTCCAAGTCTGGCCTACTTTTAATTTTAAATTTCAAAAAAAAAAATCAAACTCTTTATTTGCACTATTTTTTTTTATCAGCAAAATCAAAGAGAATTCATATTATTCTAGGAGTATAAGAAATACTCCATCATGAAAATGCACTGTCTAACCGAAATACAAAATAGAAATTGAAACCCAATAAGTCAAATACAACCCAAACAGAAATCAGAAATCAGAAATCAGAACATGAGACGTTGTAGCTGCTTGTAATTCTTCAAATTTTTACAATATTGAACAATGGCATCCTTACAATCTATAGGTTTTGATAACCAATTTGTATAACATAACACACAACCTATTTTTTATTTTTAAGTCATAGAAAGGATTTAGCCTGGATAGACTCCAATAATTGAGCTTCAAGCATAAAAAATGTCTAAAACACCTTGATATTCCTCCAATACCATACAAACCAAGCACCAACCAAAAAAATAAGAGCTCCCAACTCCTTCAGACTTCCCCCACCTATTCCATACACCACAGACTCCACCAAACCAAATATATCATTTGGTAGGACACTCTACAAACCCCACCAACCCAAAACCTTCATGAAGACTATCCACACCCCTTTACACCCACAAAAAATATGATGCAATTGCTCCACCCCCTCGTCACAAAACCCGCATCCAACAGCCTCCCCTATCAAAACAATCCCTCTCTTACATAATTTCTCCTTTGTAGCCAATCTATTCAAAAATAATCTCCATCTAAAAACACTTAATTTACATTATAAATATTATTATTTTTTATAATTAATATTTTTTAAATTTTTTACTTTTTATTAACACTTTTCAAAGATTTAATCATTAACTTTTAAATTTGTTTACAGGTTGATGATAAAAAAAAATAATATTTGAAGTGTAAATAGGAAGTTTGGTCAAAATTTCCTATTAATCTCGAGATACC